CCACGCAAGCCAAAGCAGCGTGGGCCGCTGCCTGCTTGCACGTCGGCGGCAACAGGGCGAGAGTTGGCACGGCCCCTCGGGCCAGCCGGGCCGCCCATTCACCGCCCGACAGCAGTGCGCGCACCACTGTTTCCATCCGATGCGGGCCGCAAGGACTTTTCGCGAAGTAAGGGGGCCACCTCAACTTGTCACGCGACATTACCACCGCTTGAGCCAAAATGGCTTGAACCAAAATGGCAACTTGTTTCGGGCAACCTCTACCTTCCGGTTTCTTGTGAATTTGGAGTTGGAACGAACCCTCCTCAAAGACACATGTTCGCATGACATTTGAGCAGCAATCCTTATAATCCCTCCAATCAGCTTGATGGACGGGTAACGGCTAGACACTCGCCTGCCAAGCTCAATGCCCGGCGAGCGAAACTTGTGGTTCTGCGGGAGGCATGCGCGTCGGGTGCTCCGCCACCTGTCACCCGCCCGGCAAGGGACGACTAGAAGGCGCGCGCAGACCGGGCAGTACGGCTCGTCCGGGTTAGGGGAGGTCTCCGCCGCTCGCCAGGCGCTGCTGTCGGAAGCCCTCGCGCCTGGCGACGCGCCTCCGGGCTCCCGTGCCCTGCTGCAGTCGCAAGCCTGGCCGTTCGCGTCGCGGGTCCTCACGGCTGTGCCCACAGCGCTAGAGTTCGTGCTGGACTCCGCATGACTCCGCCTCGTTCCGGGTCCTCCTCCTCCGCAGGCTGCGCTTGCCCCTCCCGCTCGACGCCGCCCATTGTCGGTGCCGCAGGTGGCTTGACCAGGTTGGGGATCACAGGGCGGAGGTAGCCCAGCCACGGGTGTCCGCTAGAGCGCGCTGCCGCGAAGCCGGGGCTCGCGTTGTTACGCACGCGCTGCTCCGGACCTCAACCTCACCAACCGCAACTCCCGGAACGATGAGCGTCGTATTGAGGTCATCGCCAACAGTCTGCCGCTGTGGAACGGAGCACAGCTCGCGGTCGATACAACGCTCGTGTCTGCCGTCGACTCGAGCGGCCGACCGCGGCGCCACCAGCGCCGTGAGGAGGGCGCAGCGCTCCGACTTGTGCGCCTCTCTCAAAGAGCGTGCTTACCCCGACTCGTCCGGTCGGCTCGCTGCCGGCTCGTCATCCTTGCATCGAGGTCGGAGGCCGCTGGAGCCCCGCTCGCTCGATGTCGGGCTCGGGCGGTTCCGGCAGCATTCCGGGCCCAGGCCACCAGCGCCTTCGTCGCCCGCTGGTTCCGCGCTGCTCGCCATTTCCGCAGGCCGGGCATTCGCGGCCACCCTCCTCGCACTGCCCGTCGCCTCCACCGAGAACGTCGACGGGCCCGCGCCCAACGTCAGCGAGGTCCTGGCAGAGGCCCGCTACGCCGAGGCCCCGCCACTCGCGAGCCGCATGCCGGCTTGAACCGGGGAGGCTGACCCCCATAACCAACAGCCCTGCACCGGGACCAGTCCGGGACCTGTGCGGAGCTCGTGGCAAAAAGGTACAAAAACCCGTGGTCGGCACATCATGTAGGAGGACCTCGCAACGGCGGCAGCTCTAACGGCGTTGCCAGACGCACCGCTGCCACTGACAACCGCGATTCTGCTTAGCATGGCCCTGCGCACCAAGGCGCAGATGGACGAGCAGAGCTGCTGGAAAGGGCAGCCGCCTTTGACCGAGGCGACTGGCCACGACTTTTGGAAGCCGCCCGCGCCAATTGCCGGCAGGACGTGGCCCGCCCTGCAGTGGATGTGGACGCACTCGAGACAGGCAAGCGAAACCGCGCATGTGCGAAGGCTGCGAAGGTGCGCATGGGTGAGTTGATTCGGGCGCATCAAGTTCTCACGGCGGCCGACTTGGCGCTTGGCGACGAGGCTCCCTACCGGGCCCTCACGGACCCACTCCGTCGACCGCTGGAGCCACGAACTCCCGTCCCAGCAGCCGTGCTTCAGCACGCACCAGCGCAGCAAATCCGGTTGACTGCGAAGGCGGTAGCCTCGGCGCTCCGCGACGCTCGGAGGGGCGGAGCAGCAGGCCTTTTCGGCATGCGCGCGGAGCATCTGAAACCCATCCTAGAAGGAGCCCGCCCGGCCCGCCACAGCACGCCGGCCCCGGAGACTGACACGCACCGGACAGACACAGCCCTGTACGGCAGACGTCGATGGCGCCGCTCTCCGGACAGCAGAGCGACGCAAAGCCGCGGCCTACCTGGAATTCCAGGGCGAAGGGCCGCAAAGACTCGTCGTACTCGGCAGCGAGGTTGGCGGACGCTTCAATGCCGACGCGCACAGCTTGCTCCGGGACCTTGTCCGGGTGCGGGCATGCAGAGCGCCGCCGGCGCGGCGTGCTGCTGCAGCCTGAGGGTGGATGAGACGATGGTGGGGTATGCTTTCCGTCGCCGTGCAGCAGGCGGTCGCGAGAACAGCCCTCGGCAGCCCGTGGCCGCTGCCACCACAAGCAGCCCTCGCAACAGGCCCGCTCCTCGACCGCCTCCTTGACTTGGCCGAAGCTCGAGGGCCAAGCCGCATGCCCCCGCGCTGGGCGAAGTGGGCAGGGAAAAAGGTCCGAAAACAAGAAGCGCAAAAATACGGTTTAGACACGGCGCCCTTGGCTCGGAGTCGAGTCTGCGGCGAGCTGGCTTTGACGCCCCGCCTTGGCGGCAGCTGGTCGAAACTTCCCGCCCTGACTCGCCGGCCCGCCCTGACACGCCGGCGGTACGTAACTTCGAGGACCCTCTGCGAGGATGGCAGAGTGCGAAAACCTCCTTTCTGACCTTGACCCGGCTTCGCGCGCGCTTCTGTTGTCCCAAGCTGGCCCTGGCGGCTCACGGGCCATCACTGCACTCCCCACCGCGCCTGAGCTCCGCATGCCATCCGATTGCATGCGAGTCGTGCTGTTGCGGCGCTTGAGACTCCCACTGCCGCATGCGCTCGGGGACCACCGGGCTGCTTGCCCTGTGGCGGGTGTTCTGGGACCGCGGGGCGCGCCTTTGGAACGAGCCGCCGCCCGTATCTGTCGGGAGGGCGGGGCCCGTGTGGCGACAAATGTTCTGTTGCGTGACATGAACGTTGACGAGCCGCTGGCGGACTCGCGCCGCATAGAGGTCCTCGCCAATGGGCTGCCGCTGTGGCAAGGTGCCAAGGTGGCGGTCGACTTCGTGAGCCCTGTGTCGCGGGATGGGTCTGCACGTGCGGGGGCCGATCGCGTTTCCGGCAAAGCCGCAGCCGACGCGGGACGACGCAAGCGCCAAACCACTTACCCTGAGCTACTGGCGTCCCGACGTTGCCGGCTGGTCGTCCTGGCAGTGGAGGTCGGCGGCCGTTTCGGTGCCGAGCTGGCGGACTTCCTCCGCCGCTTGGCGGCTTCGAAGGCCCGCGCAGCCCCTGCGAGGCTCCGGCAGACGGCGCGTCAGGCGGCATGCCACCGCTGGGCGGGAATGTTGGCTGTTTCGTTGTTGGAGCTCCCCCTTGCGATGGCGGACGAGTGCGATGGCACTGAGCCGCCTCTGGCGGAAGTGTTGGCGGATGCCCGCCACGCCTTCCCGGTGACTGACAGCCGTCTTCCGGCCCGCCCACAAGGCAGCGCCGGCGAGGCGGGGCACACGACGAGGACTGGCCTTGTACATAGCGAATCGCTTGCGGGAAAAGAGCCGAGAAAAAAAAAATTGGACCTCGCAGGTGTACTTGCCTTACAGGTGGCGGGGAATCGTGAAGTTCTGGAAGTATGAATTATGGACCTTTGGACTATGGCTGTCTCCACCGTGTGCAATCTTCCTGTTTTGGAGCCTACAAGCTTGACTTGTTTTTGGACGACCTCTACGCCGTCACTGATGTTACTGTGCCGGACGCCGCTCCTGCGTGTCGGAGGTGTCGTTACCGGTGGGGTCGACCGAAACCTTGGCAACACGCGAGCGTACAATGCGACAGACGGGGATGCCCCGCCCGGCATCGACGTCTTGGGCCGTCTGGTGTGGCAACCTGCCCCCGGCGCAGCTGTGGCTCCATCGCCGCCCTGGGACTGCCATGGATTGGCGTCGTAGCCCAAGCTGCTGACAAACTTGGTCTTTAGGATTTACAAAACTGTCGACATCTGAATGTATAAAGGAAAAGGTTCACAAAGAATAGACAGTATGTAAAAATTGCGAACCCTTCCCAACACGCTAAGGTTCCAATCCTTTTGCGTCACTGCGAGTTGCCTCGGATCAGGGGAACTTCAAAAGGTAAGGCTGGGCACAAGGGCTCATGGGACATAAAGCTCCCTGCCCTTCGACGGACCCTGCCAAAGAGTCCAGGGACCATACGGAGATTGTACTCACTGCCCTCAACGGACCCGTCATCCCCCCGGGCGGGTGGGTGGGAAAAATTGACAAATGTGCTCAAGAGTTCGCTAAAGAACGGCCTGCAAGATGTGGCAAGTGAAGCACATGTGTCATGTATGCAACGACCACGAACCTCTGTTTGAGCAGGGCTGAGCGCGGCACAAGCACTTCGCACTTTGCACAAGAGAAGAATTCAAGCAGCTGTGCCTACTGCGAAGCCCAGAAAAACCACATGAAAAACGTCTGCATAAATTACGCCCATGCAAGATCTGCGAACACACGTGGCAGAAAACTCAGAAACTTTTAAGACAGTTTTGCGTTGCCCCTTCTTCAAAAGGGGGAAGGGGCACCTATAAATCAAAGACCACTCTATCCGCCAGCGGAGCGCGTAGTCTTTAGGATTTACAAAACTGTCGACATCTGAATGTATAAAGGAAAAGGTTCACAAAGAATAGACAGTATGTAAAAATTGCGAACCCTTCCCAACACGCTAAGGTTCCAATCCTTTTGCGTCACTGCGAGTTGCCTCGGATCAGGGGAACTTCAATTGGTAAGGCTGGGCACAAGGGCTCATGGGACATAAAGCTCCCTGCCCTTCGACGGACCCTGCCAAAGAGTCCAGGGACCATACGGAGATTGTACTCACTGCCCTCAACGGACCCGTCATCCCCCCCCTCAAACGTCCGGGCTCAAAGAAAAGGCAGTGTCCAAAGGTTTCCGCTCGAGGACGAGAGGAGGTCCCAGGGAAGGTCGCTCAGGTCCATGCACTCATCTGCTAGAAGCTGCGCAGCCTGAGAGAAGTCGACGACCTGACCTCCAATCATCTGCGCTGCCAACGCAGCTTCCCCCCTGCTAGGGAGGTCGGCCACGTTGCTTGCAGAAGGAACGCGCTCAATCCAAGACACGATGCCATCAGCCGACTCGCTGGCGTAGAAGAGGCATGCCAAGCTCAGTAGAGAACGAGAGGGGCTGCTGGCCTTAATGCAAGTGTACCTGGCGGCGTCATTGTCCACGTAAAAGATGCACCTCTTCCCGGCCAGTTCCGAGGCACAGGCCCGCCTCGAGAGAACCAGCGCGTAGGCCTCCGCCTGAGAGATGACCTGCTCGATGCCCTCTGCCAGCCAGAAGTCCACAAGCTTGGGCGAGATCTCACCCGCTGCCACCCATCTTCTATCGGAACTCTGGTCCAGCAGAACTATCCCCCAGCAGGCGACGCCTTTCTCATAGGACGCGTCAGTGAAGATGGAGACCGGGCTCCCCTGCGCCCGGAGTGAGAAGGTCCTCGGACGTGCATCAGAGAGCGTCTTCAGGATGAAACGCCCCAGCGACTTCACTTCTTCCACGGAGGGAGAGCGGTTCATGTAGCAGATGTTGGCCAGGGCCCTGCAGGCTATCTTCATGGCTCGTCCAGCCGCGAAGCCCACCATGAAGTTCAGTTGGCCGTGCAGGGAGGCTGCTTCCCTGCGAGTGACGCAGCCTGAGGATGCCATCCCTGAAGCCTGGGCTCGGATCTTCTCAACACGGCTAGGTTTGTTTGCCAAGGCCACCTGACCAGCGAGAAGCTCCCCGACACTGAGTCGCATACCAAGCAGGTCAAAGGTCTCTTCAAAGGGGCGGCCCTTGTCATCACCCACTGCGTACGACCAACCCAGGGCGTCCAGAAGGCACTCGATGGCGAGGGAGCCCATCCTTGCAGTGGGGGCCGGCTCAAGCAAAGGGAAGTCGTCAAAATAGACCCCGCCGATCATGCCGGCGAGATGCAGGGCCAGGTGCAGCAACGACCTAGAAACCCTATTGAAACCGTAAACCGCCGCGCAGCATCCGAAGGGGAGGCTCCTGGAGATGAAGTATCTCCACGAGCCCGACCCAGGTTCCCAAACCATCAAGACTGCGAAGACGAGGTCTTTGGCCATAACCGGGATCTGCTTATAGGCCTTTTCCAAGTCCAAGCAACGCCCCAGCCACTTGACCCCCCCCAGGAGATCACCATGTGTACGCCCCACGAGCATCGTGCCATCCGACAGCCCTACCCTGGTGAAGCCGTCGTCATGAGCAGCGTTTGCCACGAAACAGCAGAGGTTGACCAGGTAGTCAACGTCATGTAACTGAAGTAGGTCCACAGCATGGTAGGCCGTGTTAACCCCGCTCTCTTTGTAGTCATCTATGGGCCTGCATTTCTCAGAATCCCCGGAGCCCTGGCGGACACCAAAACGCCTGCTGCAGCAAACCTCCTCTGCGCCCAGGGTTGCCTTGACGTCTTCAAGGGACTCGTAGGGGCCAATGAGGTAGCCTTTCTCCACCTCCTTCTCAGTGGCCAGCCAGACCTTGTGTAGGAGATCAGCATCATCCCCCACAGCCCCTTTTCCCGAAAGCATCTTGTTCCGCCAAACTGAGGAAGCGAGGAGGTCCTCCCTTGTGCAAGTTGCGGGGATCTCTTTCCAGTCGTAGAGCAGCGACTTCGTTGGCCTTCCTATCAAGGGGACCCCCTCCATGAGCTCCTGGGCGTCCAGGTCGGGGAAGCCTGTCTCCACGAGCAGCTTGCGCCAAAGAAGGATGTTCTTGCCCTTTAGGACCGCCTGGGCATGTGGTTAAGCGAAGCCTGGTAGCGTCGCTCCTCCACCGCCAGCTCCTTTTTCATGGCGGCCAGACGTTTCTGCATAGACAGCCTCTTCCTGGCCGAAGGCATGAAGCCACCAGTAAACAGTTCAAAAATGTTTCTCTTGACCTGGTCGTCTATGGAGTCAGATGCATCAAAGGGGTGCGGTACCTGACAGGCCTTGGCCACAAACTCCTGCTTGGTATGCAGGACTGCGAAAGTTGAGCGGCTCCCGTCTCCTCCCCCCTCAGAAGAGAGCTCGCGAAACTCACCCTCGAGGGGGCGAACATGAGTGAAAAGCTTGTACTCGGGCACCAGCGGAGGACGGCGGCGGGGCTGGCGGAGTAGAGGCCGCCTGGGGGCTGGTGCAGGCAGGCTCAGGCGGGCCCCAAGAAGAGAAACATACTGCAAGCACAGCTCGGCGGGATACTCGGCCTCCAGGGCGGTCTCGAATTGCCAGCCCCCCGCCGTGCGGTAGATCTGAAAGGGGGCATGTGTGTGCCGACCGTCACAGGGAGCCACGAGCCCTCTCAGTTCAGAGGCGGAGGTGAGAAAGCGAGAAGCCTTTTTGCGATGGCCACCCCACATACATTGGTCAAAGTCAACATGGAACAAGCGTGCATACCAGCTCTGAAAAGCACGCTTCCCTGTCTGCCGAACAAACAAGGCGAGTACACCCCACATCCAGGAGTTCACCGGATTCTCTATGGTCACGGTCCAGCCTTTGGCATAGGCGTCCAACAGCAGGGAAACCACAAAGCGGCAAAGTTCATTTGCCGCGTCAACTTTGGCTTGCTCGGCAGAGGAAAGGCCGGGAAGGCCCAGCAAGTATGTAGCATCGCGCAAGGGGCGAGGCTGCGGTGCGCCGGATCGCACAAGATGAGTTGGGAGCTTGATCTCTCGAGCGCGACTGCCAGTTCCGCACGGGAGGCCAAGGTGAATGCCCAAAAGGCGCCCAGAGAGAAGGCGCTCACGCAAAAGGCGCTGACAAAGGGGCACGGTGAGGTCGAGCGTCCAGACGGGATGCAAAGGCCTGTGTTTATTGCGGGGGCCGTCCACCGCCAACGCGGGCACACCAGCGGCTGCGAAAACGGAGCTGAGACGAGCGCAACCAGCAAAAAGCTCAACAAACGTCGGAGCTGCCAAATTGCCCCCAGGCGGCTCCGGAGGGAAGGCGGCAGCGCCGGGTGGGTCGGGGTACGCGGGCAAGCAGGCCGCAGCGGGGGTGCACGGAGGGGGGGAGCCCGAGGGCGCGGTTGTGGCTGCTGGGAGCCCACGGACCAAGAGGTCTCAGCGGGGGTGCACATGGGACTATACCCGGGGGAGGGGGCCTAAACCGAAAAGGAGGCGGCACCTCAGTGGGCGGCTCGGGGCAGGGGCGGCCAAAGGACTCCAAGTGACTGTTGTCAACGCCAGGGGAAGGGACCCTAAACCCCAAGGAACTAAGGGTCAAGGCATCCGCTTTGGGCAGGCAATCGGAGCCACGCAGGCTGAAGGCAACGATGACCACGCGTGAGCCGGCCCATGGACATGTGCAATGAAGGCGCTCACGGGCGTTGAAGTAGACGCCCTGGGCCGTCACATCGAGCAAAATGCCCGACTTCGAGGACGCGGGATCAGCCTGAAGCCAAACTTGGCCCCCTTCGAAGGCCGAAATGGCCACCGCGAAGTTCAAAGTAGCCTTTAAATTATTTTTATCCCGATGCATCTCAGTACGCAGGTTCTGGAAAATTGCAATGTTGCTAAACACGAACTCCGGAGGAGTCTTTTCACAAATAAAAGAGCAAAATGTTCTAATTGCCTCTGGATACAAGGAGCACGAGCGACGCAGACCAGTGAACGCACCATGCACATACGCCCCCGCCTGGAAAACACGGCTCTGATCGGTGGAGCCGCTGCGAGGGGCCTCCTCACCCGGCAAAGAGTGGAAGACCTGGAGAAGGTGGGCCAAAGTCAGCGAAGTGCCTGTATCCGAGCTCGTGAGGGCTAGTCAGTTTGCCAGCGGGCAGGCAGTGTAGGAATGCGGCGCGAAACACTTCCAGCAGACGTGCAGGCCTCGACGGCAGCGTTTGCCTGGTTTAGCAAACTTGCAGCCCTTGCAGTTAAACCCGAAGCACACAGGTTTACCCTCATGCTGAGAAGAACAGCCCGGCGGCAGCTCGAAAGGAGTGGAGGGACCCTTTCCACCCCCGCCCGAGGTCTGGGCCCCCTTGCCCTTTGGATGCTGCCCCCTCTTGCCGACAGCGGCACGGTCGGAGCGACCTTCAGGCGGCTCGTAGGGCTGGAAGCGGGCCGATTTCGGAGCCGGGATGAGGCAGAACTGGACCTGGGGGTGGCTCTTGAGGGACTCGAGCTGCACCTGCAAAGGCTTAGAGCCATCTGGGCGAGCAGTCAAAGCACCACGAGTCTTCTCGGCCAGCCGGATGAAAAGCTGTTTGTCAGACTCGCGGACCTGGGCCATGGTGACGTAGAGACAGCCCTGCGGGGGGTTTCGGGTCAGCAAGAAGAAGAGCTCCTCGTGGTACAACTCCATGGCCGAGAAATCACACAACCGAGCGAGGTCGTACGCCAGAGCGCGCCTCTGAAGGGCCTGGCGGATTTGTAGTTCCCCGCTAAGCGTGCAAGAGCTCTCCTGCATCTTCTTGGTGAGGCGGAGATTTCCAGCTGCATCGAATTGAAGCCCGAGGTCACTACGAGAGTGGGTGACCTCATGAGCCCTGCTAGTCAGACGCTCCCAGGGGATCCAAGAAAGCTGCTGATCAGCACCCTGCTGGAAAACAAGGTCCACGAGGCGATGAGACGGTTCGGACTCACTCGTGATGCAAACCCCCACGAGACGCTTCTTCTGCTCCTCCAGCCTCGTGGTCCTCTCGGCTATGGTCAGGCGAATAGGCTCAGCCGAGTCCTGACGCTCAACCTTTTGCTTGAGCTCACCCATGACGGTTGTGCTAGCCTCGAACCACAAGCGTCGAAGCGGGATGAGCTCCCGCGTAGTGACATCCCGCCGGATGAGATCCCGGACAGCATCGATCAGGAGCTTCTCATCAGCTTGGCCGATCTGGTACGGGCTGACGAAAGCCAGCGCACCCAGGGACTTCACATTGGCCTTGATCAACAAGTCTAAGAAGCCCTTCTCCATGCCAAGCTCGAGGGCCCGGGCCGTGAAGGTCGCCTCGCTGTCAATGGCAGAATTCATGGCGAACCAACAAAGGAGCTACCACGCGGGGCACAGCTGCAGGCCGGCGCTCACGAGAAACTCAAGCTAGGCATGCTCGAAGACAGGCCCGCTTTACGCTCGTGGGCACCAGACGCTCCGCTCCACGCCCGAAGGTCAGCGGGACTGTGCCAGTATAATTAGATCACACATATGGCAGAAACTGACCTTTGCCTCTTTAGTCTGCACCACACCGGGCACCAAACGCACCGCTCTAGGCCCGAAGGTCAGCGGGACTGTGCCATACTTCACACGCAGCAACCCCCCCCCCGGCCCAGCTCAACGCCCGAAGGTCAGCTGGGAGGGGGGGGGAATGGAGGCATCCAGCTTCAAGTGGAGTATACTGGAGACAACCACTTTCCCACGAAGCACTATCCGGTCAGGCCCCCTTTCGGGCTGCACACTGAGCGCACACAGGCAAGTCACAAAGGGGTACACTGACATCAATCGGCGAATAGTTCTGCGAGCAACTCCTACCACAAAGAAATCGATTGCCGTCCAAAACATGCACCACACGGGAAAATACGTGCATACGACAATCAGCTGTGGCATCAAGCTCTGCAGCGCTCATGGGCTCACGAGTTGAAATGACCCCTGTGTTCGCAGCCATGTCCCTCTCATCGAAGTCATCGTCCTCCTCATCGGACTCCGGCACACCCGGGTCGCCCTGCACCACGTTCTCAGCCAGGGCGTCGCCCCCACAATCGGAGGAGATGAGCTTGGCTAAGCGCCAGACCTTCGTGTCGTCTGGACGGAAGTGGCCCTTGCAGATTCTCTCTACGAGGCGATGCACAACCCTCATGAGGCGGGTTTGTTCATCCCGAGCATATGTCAAAGGGGACGCCACGCCTGGATCGACGTGATGCCCTAACAGGCGGCGGTCGCTCAGGGGCACTTCAGCAGATTTGGCGGCCCACGACAGGACTGTCGTCTTGAGGGAGTGGGAACCAACACCATCGTATGGTTGAGATGCAGCAGACAAAAACTCTCTCAAGTATAAGGTCGCCTCACCCGTCGACATAGGCCGCCGCAGCCACTCGCCAGTCGCCTCGGAATAAGCCGGAAGTGCAGGATCCAAACCAAAGCCCAGCTTCTCTCTCAGAGCCATCCATTCGACGGCCCACGGAGCATCTGCGAAAAACTTCCCAAGAGAAGCGAGGGGAAGCAGCTGAGCACGCCGGGAGGCAGCATTTCCGGTCTTCCATTTTGAGCTTTCAGCCTCGACCAAGGTGAAGCCCTGCGCCGTTTCAACCTTGAGGACTGCCAGGCAAATTGAGTCCCCAAAGCGGCTGCTGGACCCTACACACAGAAGAAGGTGGCCAGCGATGATCTTCCAGTGAGTGTAGGGCGCCTTGAGGACGACGTATTCCAGGGCTTTGACCTGCTTCACAGTCAAGGGTCGGGCTTGCACCAGTTTGCGCTTCTTCGAGTACATCCGTTGGGCTGCACCCTTAACCCTTGCTGACAGCGCCCCCAGCGACCTGGGACGGTTCAACTTGAGGGTGTGAAGCGCGAAGTTCCAAGCCTGGAGGAACGAGGAGCCCGTGGTTGGCTTTCCGTGCTCTTCGAGGTGGAACATGTACTGGTACAGAGCATGTTCCGAGACCTCAAGCGGGTTCCCGAAGCCACCGTCGATGCAGAAGTTGGCGAAGCGCCACAAGGAAGAAGCCCTTTTCACCAGTGTAGAAGTGCTTTTCCCCTCAAAGACATCGGCAAAGGCTCGCTGCAGGAAACTGTTGTCCCTTAGCAAAGACGCCTCAGCCGCCAACACCTGCCCAACTTGAGTCGCCGAAGGGTCCAGAAGCACCAGCACTTGAAATTTGCGAAGGGCCTCCCATCGCGAAGTGTCCTGGGTGACCAGGAGAGATGCCACACGGAGCCTCCTTTTGGCAAAATCTGGGATTGGCTGATGGATCACGAGGGGAGCCTTCTCTGTCCCATGCTTTTCCAGGGGGGATGCAGCGAAGTCCTTTGGTAAGCTGATGCGAGATCTTTTAGCCGGCTCTCCAAAGACCCAAGTCAAGGGGCCCCTCTCCCATGGCAAGAGGGGCGGTAAGACTCGGGCTTCTTGAAGGTGTGCGTGCCAAGAGAACTCTGAAACACTGATGGAGGTGGCATCCAAAGCTGCTGGCGTCTCGGCTGCCACCAGTCGTGAATGAAAGTCAGACGGATCAGCCAGAGCATCGCTGAGGGACGCTGGCCCAGTCTCTCCCCCTTCCGAATGGCCAGGGAGGCCCGAAGCACTAGAGGAGGAAGCCATCAGGGCAGCCTGTTCAGAAGCCAGCGGGCAGGCGGTTGATGACAACGCGAAAGAGCTGTCCCAAGCGACTGATGAAGCCGTGCAAGAAGGCGTTGATGGACGCCAGTCGAGTAGAAACCACTTCCACGTCCTGCTCGAGATCAGCACAGCGAGACTGCAGGGCAGCGACAGTTCGCTCGAAATTCTGCACGCGGCGGGCCAGGTCCTCGCGGGCCACACGCTCGCCCTCGATCTAACGTTCCAGCTCGAGGACAACGGACTCGACACTGAAAGGTTCAGAGCAGGAAGAAAAGTCGGCGTCCTCGACCGCAACCTCCACAAGAGTGTCCGGGCCGTCGCCCATGGAAAAAATTGACAAATGTGCTCAAGAGTTCGCTAAAGAACGGCCTGCAAGATGTGGCAAGTGAAGCACATGTGTCATGTATGCAACGACCACGAACCTCTGTTTGAGCAGGGCTGAGCGCGGCACAAGCACTTCGCACTTTGCACAAGAGAAGAATTCAAGCAGCTGTGCCTACTGCGAAGCCCAGAAAAACCACATGAAAAACGTCTGCATAAATTACGCCCATGCAAGATCTGCGAACACACGTGGCAGAAAACTCAGAAACTTTTAAGACAGTTTTGCGTTGCCCCTTCTTCAAAAGGGGGAAGGGGCACCTATAAATCAAAGACCACTCTATCCGCCAGCGGAGCGCGTAATGCCGCGAACATGGCTCTTGCTCGTTTTTCTGCGCAGCGCCTCGCGCGCAGCACTTGCTCCGAAACGTCACCCTTGCAGACATATGCCATACGCTCGTGCTTACGATGACGCAGTCCGGGACCGTCGTTCAATGTCTGCTGGGCGACCAGGGGCCCAGCGAGGGCGACGACTGCTCGCCAGGTCGCTTTCATGCCACCGAGCCATGGGAGGTCTCGGCCTTTTAGCAGCTGGGCAGATAGCGCCCGCAGCATACTCGGCCGTGCGGGCCAATGTGCTTTCGGTGTTGCGCCAACCTTACCCCGACGCAGCAAAGTGGCTCGTGCGCGAGCTCGAGGGCGCACCGTCGTCGCCATGCCTGCGCGCAGCGGCGGAGGCTTGCCGTCGCGCGGCAGATGGTGTCGTAAGCACGTCGCCCATGCGTAATTAAAGGATTCGAGCGCCGCCGCATTATCCAGGAGGAGCTTGTAGAGCTCAACGGCTGCGCCGGACAGGAGATCATCTGCACACAAAGATCGTGCATTGACGCGACCGATGCGCACAACGCGACTCATGCGTTTGCTTAGCACACAGAAAATGTTGCGCGCCGCATTCTCAAAGACTTGTCTTCGAGCGACGATGTGTTGTGGTCAGAAAGTGAGACATTATACTTGACGTAACCGGATCGAGTCCGGGATCAACCCTGGTTGGCCCTGACAACGATTCGCATACGAGCTAATTTGTGCACCGGCCAGGCCCCGGCATCTGATTTGAGACTAACGCCCTACAAGCACTTGCTGGCTTTCTGTCGAACCACATCAAACACTAGCATTATCTGTACTTACCGACAAAAACAATGACAGACAAACTTTTTTTTTGAAACTCATCTGACAGGATTGGGGCAAGTTTGGATGTTTACCTGAAGTACACGAACCTCCAAAATTGAACCCAGCTCTGACAGAGCGCGCCCATGTCCGTGCCGACCACCATGCCCAACACTACGAGTGCAACCCCCAGAGACCTCTCGTGTCGAAGCGCGCGCAGTGCGCGCTGGGCTGTTCATTGCAACCCATTTCTCGCTTTGCACATGATCACTTTCTGGCATGATCTGGCATGTCAACGCCCGCCCATGGATCAGCTAAGCCACTTGAAATGCGACAGCCCCGAAGCTTGAGCGAAGAGGTCACACGCGGATGTATGCGTTGCTGTTTGTTGTTGTTTTTTGATATTTTTTGTTTCCAACCTTTTTGCTTATGGCCGCCGTGTCCCGAAGTTGTTGAATCCTGACAAAGTGCAACGCCCGTTGTAAACAATGCCTCCAAAAGTGTAAAGCCTGATGTTGTGGAGCCCAATGGTGCCAAGCCTGGCTTTGGCCATGACTGCAGGCGGTTTCGTGACGCTGAAAAAAGGGCCAAAGCATTTGCACACGTGACGCCGTGGCTCCGCGACCGTGACGTGAACCCGGAAACCAATGAAACCAGGAGTGTTGAGAACTTTCGCGGTAGGGCCCAATGCAGCGGAGACTATGCTAAGCGACTCTGCTCATCACGTTGTCACAGGTGGAGTCCTAAAACTAGAGTCTGTAGGGGCAATTTTTTAAAGGAGACTCTCGGTAGACATAATGAACACCAGCGCCGCCCGAGACTGCAAGGCCGACTTGAACCAACGGCTGAACAAGGAGCTGTTGCGCCTCAACCGTCAGCACAGGCATCTGTGACAAAGCAACCTCGCGAATGCTGCAGCGTCATTTCAGGAAGCGACTTTCAGTACTCTTTAAAGATAAAAATTAAGCAGCGAAGTAAAGAACTAGTCCAAATTCCGCAAGCCATTGGCGGGGTAATCGTCTTGACTTTCGGCTGCGCACCACGACGCTCGGCGATTTTGGCCTGCCGGACAAAACATCCATGGGCATGCCCATGCGTGATCGCCCAAACCATCGCCCCCACAGCTTGGGTTCAGCCCACACCTGTGCGGCAACGCCCATGGACTTGGCATCGTCAAAAATTGTGATGAAACATCACTTGGCCCATCCCATGCGGCTGTCGG